ATAATCCTTTATTGAAACATTTTCCTTCGTACTTTTTAACTCTGTGGGAAAGAAAAAAAGCTGTATTAGTAAAAGGGGAATTTAAAAAGATCATCTCCCAGTCCGGCCACCCATTTCTGTATCTTTCAACCTTGAATACCTTGAGGTACCTACCCTCTGCCCAGCTCTAAACCCTATTACATCCCAATGTAACTGGTGCAAATCACTTACAGCTGGGCATTCCACAGCACCACTATTGATGTCATCTATGATGTCATGAGGGTGGCGGCCATCAACATTGCAGCCCACAGACTGGGCTGTCCCCAGGATCTCTTTAATGGTTCCTGTAGTAAAGCAAAGTGGATTTATGTGCTGCCTCTCAGGCCTCACAATCCTCAATACACGTAGTGGGGAGCTATTCATAGCAGGCTGGGAAAGGATGCCATCTCTGGCCCTTTAATACTAAGTTTAGAGCTCCATCTACCCACAAAACCCCTAAATGCACAGTTTCCATGAGTCCTCCTGATACTGAGACACACCTCCAGCTCAAGATCTCAAGTCATTCCTCCTTCCTTCATTACTAGAGAAGGCTTAGCCAGGTGCAGTGGTTCAAGGTTGCTGTGAGCTACGACACTATGGCTCTCTACCCAGGCAATAGCCTGAGACAATGTCTCAAAAAAAAACTAGAGAAGGCCTTATCCTAGCCTTGGGTCTTATTGGGTCCTCAAGTAGAAAGAATGCTAAGCCATGAAAATGCCTCCAAATACAGTAAAAGTAGTTGTATGTCATCCATACCAGAGAGTTCTCTGGCTAAAGATCGGTGCCGCATCTGTCTGGCAATGTTGACAATCTCATCAAAAGTGATATTTCCATTGTGTTTAACTAAAAAAGAAACAGAAAAGCTTTGTCACAAACACTCAAGTCAAAGCAGATCCTATGTCCTTTACCCTTCTAGGCTGTTCCCATGCTTTCGGCACAGAGTCATCCACATGAAGAACAACCCTGTTTCCTAAGCTGGGGTTTATTATCAGCTCACCACTGGATTGCACCAGCCAACAAAACTGGTAGGTGCAGTGGCGGGTGGCTACAGACCAACTGAGTCTTTACCAATATGAAGTGGCAAGGGACCTCATGTTTTAGAAATAAGAAACAAGCTAACGGCGCCCATAGCTTAGTGGGTAGGGTGCTGGCCACATACACCCAACCTGGCAGGTTCGAACCCAGCCCAGGTCAGCTAAACAATGACAACGGAAGCTCAGTGGTTATGGCGCCAGCCACATATACTGAGGGTGGTGGGTTCGAACCTGGCCCAGGCCAGCTAAAACAACTGTAATAACAACAAAAAAAATAGCTGAGCGTTGTGGCAGGCGCCTATAGTCCCAGCTACTTGGGAGGCCAAGACAAGAGAACTGCTTAAAGGCCATGAGTTTGAGGTTGCTGTGAGCTATAACACCACAGCACTCTACCAAGGGTGATATAGTGAGACTGTCTCCACAAAAAAAAAAAAAAAAAAAAAAAAAAAGCTACAGGTAAAGCTAAAGCTGTCCGGAGCATCTGCCAGCAGTCTGTGGTCTTGCGTAAAGGGGCAATACTCAGTTTCTTCCCTGTTTACTGACATTTCCCTCCTACGTGCACTGAGAGTCAGACCAACTCCAGGGATTAGAGAAAGCCACATAGCACTGTTTGGTAGCACCAAGCTCTAACAGCCTTAACCAAATGCCCACCCAATCTCCATGCAGACCCCGTATTTCATAAAGGGAAAATACAGCTGCAAACAATCACTGGGAACAGAACATAAATCAGAGTCCAATACTACAATCCCAGGAAAAGACAACTCACTGTTTTTCTGTTTCTTTCTGTCTCTTGGTGGTTCCTTGAGGGCTTTGATGATGAGGGCTGAGGCAGAAGGTACCACTTCAATCTGCAGAAGAGACTCTTGATGTGAATGAGCTATCCCATCTCCACCAAACAGTACTGCCATGCACATCAGTCCTCTGAGACAGTGGGTCAGACACTGGGCTAATACATGCTCATCATTTTCACAATCTAAAAAAATATGTTCCTTGCCTGGGAGACATTAAATTACCTGCTTGGCCCAATGTCACACAGGTGACCGTAGGTAATACCTGAATCCATGTTTTTGCCTTTAGAGTCCACACTCTTAAACCTTCCCAGTTTAAAGAACTATTCTCAGCTTCCCACTGCTGTTAAAAGCTTTCTATCCAGGAAATCTCAGGGGCTTATTACCTCTTTGCCCTCCCTCAAATCAAGTGGAAGTAAATACCTGGGCCTGTCTGTTCTGGATAGTCAGTTTCACTGTAATCCTCAGACCCTTCCAGTCACCAGTTGCTTTGGCGATGTCATCACCAACCTTTTTTGGAGACTGTAGAAATAAAGGTATAAATTCATTGAATCCAATATTTCCAACTTGGAAACACCCCAGCCCTTTCTTATCCAGTACACAGAAAACTATTTGAAGCAGCTAAGGGTACCCTCCTGATCAAATCAAAGCACAGCTGTCACGATAGCATAAGTTAAGACTGTGAGGCTTGGCTAGGTGCCTATAGCTTAGTGGCTAGGATGCCAACCACATACACTGGGGCTGGCAGGTTCGAACCCGGCCCTGGCCTACCAAACAACAAAAACTAGCCAGGGGCTGTGACGGGCGCTTGTAGTCCGTCCCAGCTACTTGGGAGGATGAGGCAACATAGTGAGACTTTGTCTCCCTCTCACCCAAATTAAAAGAATGTGAGGATTAAGGGGTTTAAGTCTTCTTCAGGTCTGTAGCTGCTGGCTCAGGGGGCCGAGGCAAAGTCCCTCACTTGCCCCCTTTTAAGAACCCATGTGGGCTCGGCACCTGTGGCTCAAGTGGCTAAGGCGCCAGCCACATACACCTAAGGTGGCGGGTTTGAATCCAGCCTGGGCTCGCCAAAAACAAAAATGACGGCTGCAACCAAAAAATAGCCGGGCATTGTGGCGGATGCCTGTGGTCCCAGCTACTTGGGAGGCTAAGGCAGGAGACTCTCTTGAGCCCAGGAGTTGGAGGTTGCTGTGAGCTGTGATGCCGAGGCACTCTACCCAAGGGGATAGCTTGAGGCTCTGTCTCAAAAAAAAAAAAAAATAAATAAATAAAATAAAAGAACCCATGTGATAAAGAGTTTTTTTGGTTTTGTTTTGCAGTTTTTGGCTAGGACTGGGTTTGAACCTGCCACCTCTGGCATATGGGGCTGGCGCCCTATTCCTTTGAGCCACAGGCACCACCTAAATTCAAGAGTTTTTAACTCTTTCTAACTCTCCTTGGTAACTTAAGAATCACCTAGGGGTGTGGACCACCAATAGTCAGTAGCCTATTAGGAACCAGGCCACACAGCACAAGCTGAGTCGTGATTTAGCAAGTGTCTTTATAGCCATCTCCATCATCTGCTGAGGTCCACCTCCTGTCAGACCTCCAGCCCTCACCAGTAGAGAAGTTTGTCTTCCTTGAAACCCTTACCTGGTGTCAAAAAGGTTGGAAGCCATTGACCTAGAGAACTTTAAAAATCTTAGGTTCACATGTCAGACCAATCCAAGTCCATCTGTGGTTAAAGGCATTTGGGTCTTAGCTACTTCAAAATTATTTCCTAGTTACCATTAGCCTGAACAGGAGGCTCAATGTCACCTAAGTGCCACCTGAGCTAAGAGCAGAGGTAGAACATTAAGACACTGGTTGAGCAAGACCAAGGATAAAGAGCGCGTCACGTAAAGAATCACTTCCCAAGGAATAAAAGCCTAGTGATAGAGAATTCCAAGTTCCATAAAAGACTACAAAATGGAGAAGAAACAGGCAGGAGGCCAGTGGCCAGTAAGCTTTGAGTAAGATTAGTCATATTAACCACCAGGTTTACCTATATAAAGCTGGAAATGCTCAACAGGATCTTCATGCACACCCACTTAATCTTCCCAATGATGCCATACCGAGGAAATGTAAAGCAAGTAGGCTGCCCACTATCACTAGGCCAACTTCAGACTTCCAAACTCTCACTTCTCCAGCCCATCCCTCAGGATCACCAAAAACAGCAGCTAAGTGGCATTTGTGTTCGGTTTTTCAAACATGACCTTCCTATATACCTCCTGCGTCAGGTCTAGTAGGGACGGCTGACAATGCAAGTGAACGATGAGGGCATCTATGGCAGTCCTGTCTGCCCAAGTCAGCGTGTAACCCTACTACTCTCACATACGCTAAGAAACGCCCCTTGTCGGGGAAGACTTACCAAACCCAGAGGGCCGATCTTGGGGGCCAGGGCAGACGTGGCACCGACTTCGCCGCCGGTGCACCTCAGGTATACTGAGAGGAAAGAAGGGATTAGTGCTTTTACAGAGGGAGCGCTCCAGCCACAACCCTCTCTTCCTGTTTTTCAGACCTCGTCACCGACCCCCTGCCCCTCTCCCTCCGGCGGGGGCAGCTCGGAGCCGCAAACCCGGCCTGAGTGGAAACAGCACCGACAGCCGGCGAACCCAATCACGGAGGCAGGAACGCCCGGAGCCGAGCCTTACCCTAGGGCGTGCGGACTGCCGGGCCGCCTCCGGTCGTCCGGTCCTCCCTCCCCATTTACAGGCGGGAAAAATGAGGCCCAAAAAGGCTGAGAGACTCGGCCAAGACCGCACAGCACGAGGAAAGGCCTCTACGAGGCGGCGGCTGCAGAGCCCACATGGGAAACCTTTGCACGCATGGCGGGCGCCGCGGGGAGAAGGGTGGCTCTGTCCCGCAGCCCCGGACGCAGCTAGAGCACGCACCGACTTTGATCTCGTTGGGGTCGAACTTAGGCGGCATGGTGGAGGCGGCTGGTGTCGGATGAACCCGGATTCGGGACGACCGAAGAAAGTTGCACCTTAGCCCCCTCCGACCCGAAAGCCAAAAGACCGGAAGGTGTACAAATCACGTCGGATATAGGCCGGAAAGAGCCGCTCTCGCGAGAACTGTCGGCTCCGCCCAGCCTCGCAGAGACGCCCTGGCCGCCATGTTTCTTGTGGGCAGACGCCAGAAGCTGATAGCTGGAGAGCCAGGCACCACGGTGAGCTGTAGCTAGGAATTCGGAGATGGGGTTCGGGGAGTTCACCCCAGCGGAGTCAGGGAAGAAGAGTATTCTCCCGACATCCCGGGCCCTGCTCTTCCCCTGCTCCCTTATCGTGAGGGTCACCCTGGGGTCCCTGACGCCCAGTCTCAAGAGCCCCGCCTTTCCCCTGAGGAGTCCACACCCCAGGGGAGTGCGCTGGCGACCCTGAGCCCCCTCTAGACCTTTCGTGGTGTGTGAATTTTAGTTATCAAAACAATCATTCCGGTCTAAATCCAGACTAACTCTTAATTTTGAGATTCCTTGGTTCCCAGAGTCTCAGACTTCGTCATCCTGGTCTGCATGACTTTCTGAGATTCTGAGTTTCTGTGGTCCCCAGCTCCTGCGTTTGCAGAAAACCAGACTCCAGCTCTGCCTGGGCCGTGCTGGGTGATCTGCGACCGCAAGTCCATGACCAAGCCCTCTGAGTGATCGACCTGCCTTCGAGTCCACCCGAGGGTACGAACGTGGGGGCCACCCATAAAGTCAGGTTGGCCACTGCCCACCCCATTCAGGGAAAGATGGGTGTGGTTCTCCCCATCTTGGCTGGACGTCGGGGAGGGAAGGGAGAAGTGATAGACATTTGGGGCAGATTGGATTGAGCTGATCTTTTAGGAGGGATGAGAAGTGGTGGTCATTGGAGGGTGATGGGGAGGGGTGGGGAAGGGGTGGTCATTGGGGAGAAGAGAGTAAGTGCTTGGGGAGGGATGGCAGACTGCTATTTGCAAACTATTCTCCATCCTTGCAAGTAGGTGGGATGACAAGAGGGCCCTGAGCTGGCTCTGCAGGCCTGGCCACTTCCCAGACAGCCTGCACACACAGGCAGAGACCTGTGATCTCTACCCCTCCCTCTGAGCACTGGGTGTGTCTTCAGCTGCATCTCTTCCCTAAGCCTCTTCTCCCTAGCTCAGGTAGTAGGCCCTGAATCAGTGTTTGTTTCGTGTGGTGCTTTGTAGCTGACATTACTGAGTGCTCATTATGTGCCAGGTACTGTGCTTGTGCTTTGCATAAATTAAATCATTGGATCCTCCCGAAACCCAGCAGTAATAGCATCATTACTCACACTTTACCAATGAGGAAACTGAGGCTGTGAGAAGTGAACCTGGGTGATGCAGTTGGTGGGCAGCAGATCTTGGATTCAAACCTAGTTATATTTCTTTTCTTTTCTTTTTTTTTGGAGACAGTCTCACTTTGTTGCCCTTAGTAGAGTGCTATGGTGTCATAGCTCACAGCAATCGAAAAGTCTTGGGCTTTAAGCAATTCTCTGGCCTCAGCCTCCCTGGTAGCTGGAACTACAGATGCCCACCACAACATCTGGCTGTTTTTTTAGAGACAAGGTCTCACTCTTAGGCTGGTCTTGAACTCCTGAGCTCAGGCAGTCTACCTACTTCAGCCTCCCAGGGTCCTAGGATTACGGGTGTGAGCCACTGCACCTGGCTTCCAACCCAGTTATATTTCATCCCAAAGCGTGTGCTGTCAGCCATACACTATCTTGGATGTTGCTTCCTGGCCTGTTGCTGTGTTTTTTTGTTTGTTGTTTTTTTGAGACAGAGTCTCAAGCTGTTGCCCTGGGTAGAGTGCTGTGGCGTCACTGCTCACAGCAGCCTCAAACTCTTGGGCTTAAGGGATTCTCTCACCTCAGCCTCCCAGTTAGCTGGGACTACAGGCCCCGCCACAACGCCCAGCTATTTTTGGTTACAGTTGTCATTGTTGTTTGGCTGCCCGGTCTGGATGCAAACCCGCCAGCTCCAGTGTATGTGCCTGGCACCTTAGCCGCTTTAGCTACAGGCGCCGAGCCTTGTTGTGTCTTATTGAACACTAATATTTGCAGATGCTGGATAGCACCTGTGGCTCAGTGGGTAGGGCTCCAGCTCCATATACCGAGGGTGGCTGGTTCGAACCCTGCCCTGGACACCTAAAACAGCACTGAGAATTGCAACAAAAAATAGCCAGGTGTTGTGGCGGACGCCTGTAGTCCCAGCTACTCAGGAAGCTGAGGCAAGAGAATTGCTTAAGCCCCAAGAGTTGGAGGTTGCTATGAGCTATGACGCCATGGCACTCTACCGAGGGTGATAAAGTCAGACTCTGTCTCAGAAAAAAAAGAAGAAGAAGAAGAAAATATTTGCAGATGCTGTGCAGGCCCTGGGCAGGCAGTGAGCACCTCACTTCTGAGTTCAGGACAGTGTATTCCATGTATGCCAAGTTATGTGAGCACCAAGGAAGAACAAACTCCACAGGATCAGGACTTGAAAGACAAGGGTCCCAGGCTGGCTTTGCTACAATCCAAGCTGTATAACCAGATCACTAAACTTAATAAGGGTTGGTTTCTTCGTTCCAATTAAGGATATGGTGACAATCAAATGGAATAGTAACTGGGAGGATGACTTTTTGACTTCAGTTTAACTCAGAGATCTCTTTGATTATGATGTGCTTGAGCTCATGGCCGTGGCTGGCTCTGGATTGGTGCTGCTCTGACAGTGTTTCAGGGCTAACAGTGATTTATCAGCTGAGTCTGTTAAAATCCTCAAAGAACATCCTTGGGAAGGACCTGAGGAAACTTCTGGCAAGCCCAGGAAGTGGAAAGGGTAATGCCAAGGTCTTATAGTGGGTCCAGTGGCAATTGTAGGCTAGAACCTTAGGCTGGCTTGCTTCTGTGCTCTTTCTGCCCCATCCTGCTGCTTGGTGTTGAGTCAACAATGAGCAAAGAGTACTGATGCCTGCTGTATGGGGCTCAGGTCACAGATTGAAGGATGAAATGGACATAGCTCCCACCCTGGTGGAAATCAGTCCAGCAGACCAGCCTCATGCTCTGGGCTGCCTGTGTTGGGCATTGGGGCTGTGACATGTTCCCTAGGCCCTAACTTCTCTCCTGTGTCCCAGGGTCCTGAAGATTTCCCTGGGAAAAGGAAAGGATGCCACTCTTCTTCCGGAAGCGGAAGCCCAGCGAGGAGGCTCGGAAACGCCTGGAATACCAGATGTGTCTGGTGAGGGAAATGGGTTTCCTCTGCCCCAGGAAATAGGACTGTGCAACCCCTAGACAAGCCCGGCTTTCTCCCATCTACCTCCACTATCCCCAGGGGAAACGCCTGATTTCCCGCACCCACCAGTGAGGCCCCATCCAGAATTCCTCCCCGGCTGTACTGAGTACACCTATCAGTTCTTTGTTCAGTCTCTTGGAAAGCAGAGGCTGCAGATCCACCTGCTGAATGGATTGCAACCACATACTGTCTATGGATTCTTGTAGCCCCTTAATTTTGTGTTCTTTTCTTTATTTGTCCACTCTGCAAGAATACTTTATTTTAATATCTCTTCAAAAATTCTTTTTATCCTTAGGCCAAAGAAGCGGGGGCAGATGACATTCTTGACATCTCTAAGTGTGAACTTTCAGAGGTAAAGTGAGGATACTGTTCTGACTGTAAGTTGGATCTGTCCTGTTTTCTTGGCTCACATGTCTCTGGGCAGTGGTTCTCTACCTTCCTAATGTCATGGCCCTTTAAGACAGTTCCTGTGGGTCGTGACCCACAGGTTGAGAACCGCTGCTCTAGGGAATTTACATGTGGACTGGGGCTTTAAAAAGACCAGAAGCACCTAGTCCAAAGATATTTCCTTAGATTTTGTTCTTGTCCAGAAGAACTTAGATGATCCATTGGCCTCAACATCTATTGGCCTTTAAGAGTTAATGAGTTGGGCTCGGCGTCTATAGCTCAACCGGCTAAGGCGCCAGCCATGTACACCTAAGGTGGCGAGTTCGAATCCCCAGCCCGGACCCGCCAAACAACAATGAC